TAAGTATTTAGTAAGCATATACTAAGTGCCTAAAATCACACTGGATCAAAGAAAGCCTTATTTTGCATAATTAAGTCTAAATGGGTACATTATTTATGAATATCTAGAAGAGAAAAAAAAATATCGATAGGATTCCCAAGAGCAAGTAATACCCTTTCTTGTTTGGATTAGTGGATTGCTAAATCAGGAGATACTTGCAAACATTGTGTACCTTAATATCAGTAAATTATTTGACAAAGTCACTAATGTTCATGGATGAAATAGAGAATGCACACTAGATCACAGTAGACTGGATTAATAGCTAATGGAACATCCCAAATAGTGTTGATTAATGAAAATCTTGAATGATGAGTTGTGGGGATTACACTTGACTTTGATCAAACGATCTTTTGAATGACATGGATGAGTCCACAATGATTGAATATAAGGATGGCATAAAGTTAGGAAGGATAGCTAATATATTGGAGGACAAAAATAAATACTTTAAAGTATTTTATTGGCTACAACAATGGGCTAAATCTAATAAGCAAATATTTAACTTAAATAAAGAGAGTATCTCACATTTTTAAAAAAATCATTGTATAAGTGATTGGATTTTGCACAATATATTGAAGAATCTGGCTTGATAACAACTCAAGTGAAAACAAAATATATATAAGTTAAGTCAACTGATATAAAAGTTAAGTCCATTTTAATGAGTTTAAAGGATTAAGCCAAAAGATGCAAGAGTCCTGTTAATTGCTGTGCCTTTTTTTTCCTGACCATACCCGAGATGGTGTCCATCTCTCTATGCCATGCTCAACAGACAACAATAATAAATTCCATAGACTTAGTAGTGTTGAGTGTTTTCAGAATATGGTTACCAAGAGTGCTACAGGCTTGATTACAGTATGTGACTAAGATATCTAGAAGAATTTATCCTGAAGAAATTATTATATTTCTCAAGTTATGTACATGTTTTCTTTTCCTTCCTTATAAGGCCAGCTCTGGGCACAGAGCCTGGCATGTGTTTGGAGTTCAATAAATGTTTGTTAATGAAGAGGTCACAGAAGTCAATTCAGGTATCTGAAGAGCTACCAATGAGGCTCACATCCTGTGTCCAGGTAGATCAATCTATGACCTCTGGTTAATGTTACATAGAGGCATCATTTGGGTGGAGACAAGTGGGCATTTGTTTATCAATTAGAGTGATTTGAAAGAGAAAAAAGGTGCCTCAGGAATTCTTATCACTGGAATGTATGGTTCAAGTGACATCCTGCGAAGGATTTTTTGGAGAAGATGCCTCTGTTGGATGGGACATGAGACCTGACTATCTAAGGTCCCATTCAACTCTAAGATTCTGTCAAATCATTAATTAATTAAATATTTATTGAATATAGATTTTTCTGTAAAGAGATAATGGTGAGCAAATGCAGACAAGGTCTTTGCTCCCAGGGGGCCTGGAGAAGAGACCAGTGGTTTCTAAAATGGGCTGTGTGCATCCCAGTTGAAGAGAGGATGAAAATATTAGAGTTACTACTTAATTAAAAATTTTTCATTCTTTTATTAATTTCTATATTTTCTATCCTAAATAATAAAAGGCTAATATGAAAACCAACTGAACGGTGGAACCACCAGAGGAACAACCAGTTGCTATGACTTGTACTGATCACCATGGGGCAGATGATCAACGCAGGAGCTGCCCCCTCATGGTCAATATGCTCCCACAGAAGGAGTACCACTCAGCCAGAAGCCGAGCTCACAGCTGGCGAGCACAGCAGTGGTAGTGGGAGCCCCGTGAGGAGTGGGCCTAAGCACTCAATCGGACATCCACCAAGGCCTCCCAGACTGCGAGAGGGTGCAGGCCGGGCTGAGGAAGTCCCCCACCCCCGAGTTCACGGATTTTGTGCACTGGGCCTCTAGTAAGTTTTATAATACATATGACACTTTGCATATCATTTAGAATCAAATACATCTATTTTGGGGAGTTAATACCCAAAAACATTTTAACTGATACACTGTGCAATCAACCAAGATGCTAAATAATCATGTGAATGAATGTAAATTATAACCACATCAAGTGCCACAGCTTCTATTCCCCTTTGTGGGACTAATCTGAACTCATTCAAACATAAAGTTTTAAGGTTCATACACTGTGGAAGCCCTTGAACTGCTGCCACTGCCATGGAAACTAACGCATTGTAAACCCTAAGGAGTTGTCAGGCTTTTGGGAGAGGACTTAGCCCATACTATGTTCATATCCTAGAAGGATTAGCACTGTGAGAATCCAAGCCTATGGTTCTGTTATAGTGATAAGGATTTTTTTTTTAAACTACCATCATTTACAGATGAATTCCTTATTAGCCAAGCTTTTCTTAGAAGAGCTGAAAGTTCAGGGCCTACCCTTGAGAAGCAGAGATAAAAGGCAGATGTTGCCTCTATTACGAAGCCACTGTGGGACACACTCATATGATATATTCCTGTGATATAAAGATATATGGACAATAGAGGTTTGTTTCATATAGCTGCACAAACACATGTGAAAAAAATTGGAATATGACCTCCTCTGGACTGGAACCTTATCTTAGTTATTTCTGTATCTTCCCTAGAGCTTACTGAAGTAGCTAGAACATAATAGGTGCCAATCAAATATTTACTGAAAGACTGAAAGACTGAACAGATGACAAATGAATGATGCACTTCTACTTGTACATATAGTAGGTTTTGAGCTCCTAGTTCTCAACTATGGACACTGTTAGGGACGATCCCACAGCAACTATCTTCTTAGACTCACCTGGTCCAGGCATATCAGGAAAGTTCATAACATCATTGATGAAGGACAGTAATAACAACAATGATAATGATAATAGCTAACATTATGATTGCTTGTCATGTGCCAACACAAAAACTGCTTCCTTTAAAACTTAAAGAACAAGGAGTAGAGCAACCTTTAAATATAATTAAAGATAAGGGCAGAATAAAGTAATTCAGAATATAAAGAACCACACTTGGATCTCTTATCCAAAAATATGGCACCTGTCTGAAACTCCACTGAAAGAACTCTAGATCTTTGATTAACCAGTTAACTGCCACATCTATAGACGCTTATGGTGTACAAATGGTTAATATACAGATGTCACAGTCAAAGGAAAGACTATTGTTTGTACACATGTCTGGGCAGGGCAGTAAACTGCATATTTTTTTTTCTGACATCATTGCACTGTAACTCCAGTTATGATTATTCTAAGAAATTTCTCTCCTGGTCAAATCTACATGCATGCAAATTAGCCTCAGGATAGTGTCTCCTAGTGTTCCAAAGAATAACCTCAAGATCTGGGGGGGAAATAAACATTAGGTGACAACAATTTGGGGAGTGATAAGTGCTGAGTGTTTTGTGCTCCTCTTAGAGACTTACATTGCACAGGAGTACATTAGAGATAAAAAGACAATAGGAAGGAAACTTGTTCACTATTACTTAATCCAGAATTCTCCAAAGCTTTTGACAAGTAAACCATTTTTCAACAGAATGCTTCACATGTATTTTCTTGGAATTAGGATGAAGGAATATTGGCTTTGGAAGTTCCTAAAAAAGAGCTCTGTGCTGGGATTCTAGCAGTGGACACAGGGAAAGGGGATTACTATGAAGACCTATCTGATTTGGAGAAAGTAAGGTTTACTATGGTCTGAACCAGAAAAGACTCATGCTTGGTATTGTTATTTATATGACAAAAATGCAACCCTATTTAAAGACTTGGGAGAAAAAGACTGACTTTTAATCAGTTGCTTGAATGAACAGTTTAGTTCTTATGGCGGTCTCACACAGTCACAGAAATTTATATTTTCATTTTATCCCAAAGAAAAACTTGACCATCTTTCTTTAATACTATCAACCTGGAAGCTTGACAGTAAGGATTAAAAATTGCTCCTTCCTTCCCACTTGGTTATTGGAAAGGCTCTGAAAGGTAATCAGTCTTGTGAAGCTACACTTTACAGTCTGCATAAAAATGCCATGATTTCCCTACCTCTCCCCAACCTAATTGAAAGTGCATAATATCACCCAGCTGGGGAAATGTAAACCGTAAACATATGCAATATATCATGCTCCCACACAAAAGCTGGTTACTAATAGGGACTGGGTGGTTGTCAGGACCAAAAGGAACCTGGAAAACTAGTCTTTTTTTCCACCTAAACTGAGAGCTCTTTGTGCCTGGCACCACTCCCCCTTCACCCCTTCCTCCAGACTTCAAGCTGCAGCCAGATTAAACCAAGGTCAGTCAACTCATTCCTTGCCTGTGTAATTCTAAGGGTCACCTAACAATGTATATTGACTAACACACTCTTATATAAGCCTTTCAAGAGATGAAGCATTTTGCTTTTGGCAGGAGGTGGAGTTGGAATCGTCTTATTTCCTACCTACTTCAATTGTGTGATGGATGGTCCTATTATCTCTTGCCTTAGCTGCTATACCTAAAGATCCTTGGCCTTGTCACCTCTTATCTTTTTCTACTTCATCAAACTCCTATTGCCAAGATGTTCTCCTTTCCTACTGTTGTTCATCCATGAATATCTATTCAGAATCACATGAGTATAAAATCTCAATCTTACTTTTCAAAATCCTCTGCACCTCTGCAGTGATCTATGATTCCATCTCAGTGATGCCTACTGATAAGTCATCATTCTCACCTAAGACTCCTCCTCTCTTTTAAATAAAATGTTCACAGTAGTGTGGTTAGCTCATCTCTTTTAAATAAGACTTTCACCATATTCCTTTAAAAAAATCACTCCCTGTTGTATCATGAACTCAACTTCTACTACTCATTCATGTCATCTTCTAATTGGCTATTGTCTTATTTTTGATTGCCAATACCTTACAGGTCGGTCAAAGCATAGCACTTGTCAAGGGTACTGTATCATTTCAGTTTTAATAGATTGAAGGATGTATTCTTATATGCTTCAGAAGTAGAGATAATTTCAAACTTATTAAGTTAAAACTACATTCATCTTTCAATAAATTACATTACCTGTCAACTGGCACTGGTGGATGGTATGGCTTGTTGACCTTGGCATAGAGACCCTCTAAATGATCTCTCTCTGGAGAGAGTGGACGGCCATCGCGAGAATAAACCAGTGGTCCAGCCCGAGGGGGAGACGGAGACCTATAGATATTTGCCGAGGCACATGGTTCCCGGAAGTGGTTCACTCTGGCATAATTGGGATCCATTTCATCATCGTCCATATCATGCAGTGATCCAATAGTACCAGTAGCATAATCAACAAGACCTCTTGCCTGCTTTTCCCGTAGCTCCTGATGTTTTGCTCCAATCCTGAAAAATGCAGAACAGGTAACAGAGACATCTGTGAGTTTATATGCTAGTACAATGATAACACTCTTCTGAATCTATGCAAGTTCCTCCTAGTTGGTAACCTAGCTGCCACTTACCTGTATACTCAAGACCACACCAGAGAGAAATGCAAATAGCATAGTCCGTGGGATTAATTTTATATCTATGTCCTTTATTTGGTAAGGAGCCTGCTATTATAGCAATGCTGTAGGTACTTTGACATCTTGCCCACTGATGCCTGGGCTGATTGCAGAGTCAGGCTAATTTTCTTTTCTTTCTTTCTTTTTTTTTTTTAAAAAAAAATATTTTAAATGATTTTTTACAGAGAGGAAGGGAGAGAGATAGAGAGTTAGAAACATAGATGAGAGAGGATCATCGATCAGCTGCCTCTTGCACACCCCCCACCAGAGATGTGCCCGCAACCAAGGTACATGGCCTTGACCAGAATTGAACCCGGGACCTTTCAGTCCGCAGCCCGACGCTCTACCACTGAGCCAAACCGGTTTCGGAAGGCTAATTTTCATTACCACTCCTTTCCTATAAGTGGGATGTGCTCATGGGAACAGTATATCTTTGATATGATACTATGGAAGCCAGCCTTGGAACAGGGGTGCATGTTAAAGAGTCCATCACAATCTCATACTTGGCCTATGCTTTCACTCTTTGGCACTCTGGAGTTCCAGTGTATTCTCCTAAAGAAAAGAGCTTGTAAGAGTTGGTTTGAATATGAAAAATAAATACAGAGGCTTTCTGGTTCCTAAAAGCAATGGGAGCAGATACAATTTATCAGAGATTCTAAATTTCTTGGTTACATAAATGGGGATCATTGTGTCTCATTACATAGGAACTAGGGATAGAGTAAAATAGTGAAGAAATTAATAGACTCCTGACAGAGATGAATTGGCATATATGAATGAATTAAACACTACTACTGGCACAACTCCACAGTACTAAAGCCTTAAATGATATTACTGCTGATCAGTGTTCTGTGTAGACTATTGGGATTGGGAGCAGGACAGTATATTTAGGTGGATTCCAAACCCATCAGAATTTGAGCATTTGACATTTAATCTGGAATGTGTTAGACCAGCACTCCTAAATTCCCAGTTAGGTGTTAAAATGAAAAGGTCACTGTGTATTTTATAGGACAATGGTGATCTGATGGTATCAGGAGGCTTTCAGCACTAATGAGGGAATGTAACCTTACACATCACTGGGCAAGCAAGGTGTATTGTGTACAGGACGGGAGAGGTAAGGTGATGAAAGGCTCTCAAGAAAGGATGGTGACAAATCCAGAGTCCTGGGCTCAGAGAATATGAGAGGGCTGTGGTCTAGAAGCAAAAGATCTATATTTGCTGGCGAAGGCTTAGATGAGTGAAAACAAAAATTGAACTCAATATATTCCCTTCAAATAAAAACAGCTGTTTTTGCACATTGCAGCTAGTTTTATTTTACTGAACATCAAACTCTTTGTAAAAATCTTTAAAAGCCACGATCTTTCAAGGTACTTTCTCTTTAGGCAGAATAGGCTTTTTTTTTTTTTTTTTTTTTTTTTTTTTTTTTTTTTTTTTTTGTAGAGAGGAGGAAAGGAGGAAAAAATATATGAAGGGATAGGATAAAGAACCAGCATATATCCTCAAGTCACAACAGAAGAAAGTAAATGTCAGGATACTTGACTGCATTTCTCTTTGGACTAGGTCAAATCATGTATCCTACACTGCATATAAATAATTAGGAGAATTCATATTTCTGCAAAGGGGAGTCAGAATCTCCAAGGGATTTTGAATGAAGATGAAAGGAAGATTACTCAGCAGGGCACCTGTTAAGAGGCCCTGCCTATCCTCTTTCAATACATGTTAGTCCTAGATTCATGGATATTTATTTTGAATAAATTTTTTTATAAAGGAGATAACCTGCTCCATTCTGCAACAAAACAGTCTTTCCAGGGACAGTGCCAACTGGATTATCGCAGAATGCTTGCTGCGCTAAGATGATAGAGACAGATTTTCATTGCAAAGAGTGCAGGACATCAATAAAGTTAGGGGGTGGGGTTCTGTGTGGTTACCATCACTCTGAAGTGGGATGCCTTCAAGAGGAAACATTCAGCAGAAAGATGAACATCTCATAGCTGCCCTGTGGGGCTACACTTGTGAATGAATGAAAGAGGAATACACCAGGCTTGATTTTTTAATATCACAGGAACAGAACACTAGTATCTGTGTTCCTTATTTTATCACTTGTCTTTCTTTGAGGTTTGCTCATTAATATGAGCATGCAGAGATTCTTGGGTGAAAAGTACTCAAGCAATATTTTATCTTGTACTTTTCCTTTCTAAAACAAAACCAAATTTTTCTTTGGTCCTCTCTGTACCACTAAGTATTGCAGTAACTAATTTCATATTAATCACTCAGCACGTGAAACAGAAATTTCTCTGAATCATCGTTATTATGCCACATATGAGGGTCTATCCAAGAGGCAGAAGATAAGGCAATGTTTGCAAAGGGGAGTATGGACCGCCTGCCCCAATTCAGTGTAAGAATTCTAACTGTTTATCGTCATTTCCTTTTGAAGGTCTCCTTATCACTGGAAAGTCAAACTGTTAAAATAGCTATCATTCAAAATAGTCCTGGATAATGTAGCCTTTTTATTGGGTGGTACCACCAGTTTCCCCATTCTCCCCAGTACTCTGCTTTTAAATTACTTAAGTCTCCTTTTTCCCCTATAAAAACATTATTTATTTTTTTTCATTATACCTCTTGAATATCCTCTTCTGATTCCATTTATTTAGTTGCAGTTTAGTGTTTAGGTTATTGCCTACATCTTCATTGTCCAGTATGGTAATCATTAACCATATGGTGCTATATAAATTTAAATTGGAACTAATTATCATTAAATAAAATTTAAAACTCAGTTTCTTGATTTCACAAACCACACTTCAAATGCTGGTTGAAAAGGAGGCGGAATTCAGAAAAAAAAAAAAAATAAGAAAAAAAAAAATCTTAGACACAGATAATATGGTGATTACCAGAGGGAAGAGAAAAGGGGAGGCAAGAGAGGATAGAGGGGATGGGTAAAAGGTGATGGAAAGAGATGACTTTGAATGGTGAACACATAACACAATATACAGATGATGTATTATAGAATTGTACACTTGAAACCTATATAATCTTATTAGCACAGTCACCCCAATAAAATCAACAAACGTTTTAAGAAAGGAAATAGAATAAAAAGAAAAGGACAGGCAAACGAGAGAAAATATTTGCAAAATGACCCATTTAAAACTGGGCAAAATTCTAAACAGATATTATATCAATAAATACTAAAGAAAATCTAGAAATGCCCAATAAGCAAAGGAAGTGTGTTTAACATTGTAAGTCATCAGGGAAATGCCAATTAAAACCACAGTGAGATACTCTTACCAAAATGAAAGAGGACAACATCAAGTGTTAGAGATGCTGTGGACCATCCCGAACTTTCATGCACTGAAGTCATGACAGACAATTTACCTTCCAGGTACTCATACATGAGAAATAACTACATATATCCACAAAAATTGCCGAAGACTGTTTGGTAGCAGCTTTATTCATCGTAACAAGAAATGGAAATCATTGAGATGTCCATCAGTAAGAGAATGGATAAGCAAGCAATGGAATGTTCATATGACAGCCTATAAATGATCAATAACACAAAATCAACTCCTGAAATTCTCAACTATAAGGATGAATCTCAAAATTCTGCTGCTTAGCGAAAGAAGCTGCACATGACAAACGAGCTTACTACATGCTTCCAATGATAAGAAACTCTAGATCAGGCAAAATCAAGCTCATGGGGACTGAAAATAAATTCAGTTGCTTCATGGGCGGGGCTCCACTCAGGGAGAAAAGGCATGAGGAAACATTCTGCGCCTTGATATACATCCATCAAAATAGAACAGGGGTATTCTTCTGCTTAGTTAAGACCTGGACATTTCACTGAATATAAATCATACTTCAATTAAACAACTCAAAAGAAAAAAAAAGAAAATTAAATTTAAAAATGCCAATTATGCTACCTACAAGGTAGGGCAAAGATATGTTTACAGTTGTGAAATAGGGTTTATTCTTATATTATTATTTATTAACTATTAGAGGCCTGGTGCACAAAATTCGTGCATGGGGGTGGTCCTTCAGACTGGCCTGCAGAGGATGTCTGACTGCCTCTTGCAATTCTGGATGGCTAGCTCCTAACTGTTCACCTGGTGGCCTGCTTAATTGCCCGTAACCCCTCTGTCTGCCTGCCTGATCGCCCCTAACTGCTCCCCTGCTGGCCTGATTGCTCCTAACCACTTCTGTCTTGCCCCACACCTAGGACCCAGGATTCCCTCCCTCTGGCCAGCCATAGGCACCCAAGACCTGGGCCAGCTTCACCCAGGCCAGCTGCAGCCACAGGGGACCATGGGCAGGCAGCTTCACCTGGGCTGTAGCCGCAGGTGCCTGGGACTGTGGGACAGGCATCTTGTCCCTCTTTTGGGCCACACCTACAGGAGCTAGTGCCTGGGACGGAGGGGCAAGCAGATAGTCCCCTTCCTGGGCAGCAGCCTGGCTAGTCTCCATTGCTCTCTCCCCAGTGTTGAGTGTCTGAGTAGTTCCAGGTGCAAGGGTGCGAGGGCATGATGACCATTCACATATTAGCTCTTTATTATATAGGATTGTATTATTTTTGTATTAACAAACTTAGCCTACTTTTCTCCCACTCTGTATATATCCATGTGATAAAATCTAAAAATACTTGGAATAATTTATTATAAATATACTTATATATAATTCTTCTCCTTTGAAATGCATTACCTAAAAAGAATTATCATAAATTAACAGAATGAGTGTGATTGCTGGGAAAATATTTAAATTGCTTAAGGAAACACAGCCCTTTTTCAGGCAATTTAAACTCTTTTAAAGTACTAATTTACAAGCCAGACATTGATTTTGATAAATACATATCATTCT